TAATTGTCACAATACACCCTTTTCTATATCCCAAGCCATAATATTTCACATATTGTGACCCCTGTTTACAGACACTGGTTGACTGCACAGAATCTATTTTCATCTTCAGAATAACATAAATCATAAGATGTCTATGTTACCCTCGACTGTTTGAAGCACTTATTTTGATGTTATCTTAAATTTGCATGGTAACAAATGCTGATGCTCTGAATGTACCTCCATTTAATCACAGTGTTTATTCCTGCCTATTTCTTCCCTTTCTCAAAAAAAAATGAAACAAACATCCCAAATTTGTTAACACGGAAAAGTGAACGCAGCTACATATTCAAAGAATAGACATTAATTTTGATTTCTTTCACGTTGAAAACAAAAAGCCAACAAACAAAGAAGTACACAACCAAAAAAAAGACAAATTGAAAAATATATTGTAGCCTTCATACCTTGCAGAATTAACATGGGAGTGCTATTTTCGCACCCAAGGTGCAAGAGCAGTGAATACAAGATTATTTGAAATCCCACCTGCCACAATTCTTGGGTAATTCGAATATTGTACAACCAGGCTTATGGGAGTTTCTAATTTGCTCAGAAATGATAAAATACTAAGTATGTCTACTATTTCCCAAGGAAAAGTTACCACGTTAATACAGAAATTAAATAAAATTGAGCAACGTATAAAGAAGCTCCACTCTTTAATAAGATTTGTGCTTGAAAAAATTCTATAAACGCATTTTTTGATGCCAAGTAGATGTCAATATTCAAGACACATCTTCTGTTATCCTTCATAAAAAAACAAATGAAACTAGCTAATCTTGTTTTAAAACACAGAATTGGCTATTTAACAAAAGCACATCAGACAACATTTTTGTCATGCACTGCAAAGTGCCTGATCAATTCCAGCTCCACATCAAAAGAGAGCTTGACAATACTCATAGGTTAGAAAATTTAAAAAGGCAGAGTACGCTACAAACAATTCTTCCTTTAGACTGAGCAAACATTATATTCGCCGATTGAGACATTATTAATGAGGCTGATCAATGTGTTTCCTGTCAATTCTAGCATTGATTTCCTCTCATTTTCATCAGGAAGCAGAATTTGACCTCTAAAGAAATTTAGGGATTCTTTGACGTATTTTGAACAAGAAAAATTTTTGTTGCACCTAAATTGCCGTTGAATAAAAGTTTTACTTTCCAATATGTAAAGTAACTACAGAATACCCTGCCTGTATCTTAAATAACTTGCAAGATGTAATTCTTTTTATCCATAACTTAATAGTTACACTTCACCTGGCTCATTTGCAGATCAGTTTGCTATTATACTACTCTTCCAGATTGGGTAATCAAATCGTTCTGACAAAGGTGACAAAACTAAGGAGCATTCAAAACTCATCACAAATATAGCAGACAGGACTTTCCCTTGCAGCTTTCACAATTCCTTCACAACACAACTCACCTCCCAAAAATGTACTGCAGAGACAATAATCCAATTACCTACGTATTGTAAATAATTGCAGTTAACAGAACCCATTTTTATAGTAGATGTCTTTCATGTCTATGTGTATATGCATATTAGTCAGAAGAACATGGGAATGTAAAGAATGTAGACAGATCAAAAAAAATCTTGCTATATGTACAGTTAAGTAAGTGCCACTGACCAAGTCAAGATTGGGCTGTGGGTTCCTCTTGTCGCCTGCAGCAATTTTGTTTTATCACTTCTTGTTTCGATCGCTACTCCTTTTCATTTGTTTTAAGTTTACGAGACACACTGACTGCTAGCAAGAAATAATAGTACATAATGAATACATCATTTCACTGCCTTCAAGTCTTTGTCACTAAGTATTCAACTATCCTCTCATCAGGCAGCGACAAGTCTTGATCTCTGATTAATGATGAACATTATTATTACATTGCTTTCACAAGATATAAAAGTGTTGTTTCGATAGTGAGAATGATTTTCTGCATGAAACATACCATCATAGTGGTCACTTAAAGTTTGAGTGTGGTTTTGTGAGTGACAGTGTGTAACATACAGTCAAAGCAGGTAGAAGTTGATTTAACCCTCATTCTACCAAGTGGGGCCAAATGAGACGCCACCTCATCATAATCAACATTTGCCATAGCTCACATGGTCATTGTCATTAGCTGCAGGAACAAAACAGGAAAGAAGTGGTCTAACGTCAAAAAAGTAAGGTTTTTTTCGTGTCCTACGTGTTATAGTCAATCAAGGAGAGCACACCGAAGAACTTATTTCTGAGCAAAGAAGAATGTGGATCTCTGCGATACGTAGAGATGACTAAACTGATGATATTTTAGAATGCCATCGGGTCTGCAAACAGCATTCCGTTTCAGACCAGCCATCTTGGTCATTTAAAACAGCATGTAAAGAATCCTGAAAAAGTAGCTGCTCGAGCACAGAGAGCTGCCAACAGATGCTAATGTGAAGCAGAGATCGCAGAAAAGGAGGTGGAAGAGAAAGTGAAACGAGTGGATGATACAGGGGAAACAGCTGATGAGATATTCTATGAGGCCAAGCACTACGCCAAGGCTTTGAATGTTGATGACAAAGATCCAGAAACTAAGGAAGAATTATACGACAGTCATGACCAGAAAACAATGAATGCTGAAACTCAAACGCCAAAATAAAGGGAAAAAATTGCCCAGAATGCTGAAACTCAAACTACCGAATTTGAATATTTAATTAAGAAAGCTTTTCTGCAACCTTTTACTGAGGAATACTTTGCTAATCATGATGACGGAGTGAGGTTTTAGACTGGTTTGCCAGGTTTTGATGTCCTCAAAGCAACGTTTTCTTTCACCAGTCTGTTCATCGCTCGAAGGAGTAAGAGCTTGTCTTTGTTTCAAGAATTTATTATGGTATTAATGAAATTAAGATTGAATGTTCCTCTGCAAGACCTTGCGTATAGGTTTGTCGTTTCACCTAGTACTGTTTCAAGAACCTTCTCCACCTGGTTAACTGTGATGGATATCAGGCTTTCCGCTATCATCAGATAGCCTGGACGAGATGAGCTCTGGCACACGATGCCTCCTTGTTTTCAGTTCTCATTTGGAACAAAACCACCTTTATTATTGACTGTTTTGAGATCTTCATAAAGCGACATTCAAATCTTCTATCAAGAGCACAAACATTTTCTAACCATAAACACCACAATACCGTCAAGGTCCTCATTGCAATTACACCCCAACGGTCTATTTGTTTTACTTTCAAGGCATTGGAAGGAAGGACCTCTAATAAAAACTTAACTGATTAGTGTGGTTTATTGAACCACTTAAAGCCAGGGGACCTTGTTATGGCAGACCAAGGGTTCACCATTCAGGAAAGCGTTGCACTCTACCAGGCACAGGTAGCTATTCCTTCCCTCAGTAGAGGAACAAATCAACTTGATCCACATGATGTGGAACGAACACGAGGAATGGGGAATGTGCGAATATATGTCGAGCATGTCATTGGACACCTGAGGCAAAAGTATTCTATCCTGCAGGGAATACTACCAACAGATTATTTCACATGTTCAGAGAAAAGTGGAAAAATTCCACCTATTGACGGCATGATCTGGGTTTTTGCAAACCATTACAAATCTTTCCGCATCAGTTGTTCCCTTTGACTAAACTCATTAGCTTTTATAAGACATTTATATCTTTGCAAACATTAGTGAGACAGAATTGATATTTAATACTCCAACAAAGATATATATGGTACTGTATTGTATTGCATCGGCTTCACACTAATAATACTTCAAAAAAGCATAGCAATGTAGAATGAAGTAAAACAATACAAAATTTAGCCATGTCATGAGTAAATTTGTTTCTCGAGTTTCAGCACTCCGAATCTTTGCCATCAATATTCAAAGCCTTGCCCTCGGGCTTGAGCTGTTTCCACTGTATCATCCAATCGTTTTACTTTCTCTTTTAACCCTTCGTCTTCTAGCCCTGATTATTCATAAATTAGGGCTAGGAAACAAAGGAAAGGGAGAGTCAACCTTGGTGAAATCAAAAGCAACCTAACATAAAATTTGACCTGTAACAGATCTTATTGTTCATATTATATATAATTCTCCTGAATTTCTTATTTGCATACACTGTATATAGTTTTTCCCAATTTCTTTTTTCCCAACATTCAGGTTTTTTACATCTTTAATTAATTTATTTATTTATTTATTTACTCTTTATGAACTTATTTTGATGTCCCAACTTAGTGGTTCTACACTGCTAGTACAGTTGACACTTGAATAAAGGTCTCATCATCATCATCATCATCATCATCATCATCATCATCATCATCATCATGAAAGCAGAAAGAATTATCCTCTAAATGATTTCCATCCGCTCATATCTAAGTTTCTCAGACGCTAGAAAATCACTTCGGATTTTCTTGTTATTTCACGTTTTGCCTGTAGATATAAAAAATGCTTCTTGCAGTAATGCATGTTGCCATTGCCTCCTGTCATACTTGACCCATGCCTCCAGCGGTCACCCTGAAAACAAACATGGAGGCTTTTTGGTTGCATGCGTTCGTTCCAAAGAATGCACCTTCAGCAGAGGACGGAATCTAAGGGGAGAAAATGGAGTAAAAGCAAAAAGAATCCTGAAGAACCTTCGAAAGTAAAAAGTTTGATAAATTTACGTACTTCTTGCTTGATGTAATAAAGGTTTGTCAGCAAGGGTTTCCAAGGAGATGATTCTGTATAGCAGATGTTCTAATGAACCTAGAAGGAGGAATTTCAAAGCTGGAGGCAAGGAGATGTGAAAGAGGTGCAAGGTTTGCAGACACACAGATAAGGTTGAAAGAAGAGACTGCAGTACTTTAGTTTGGCACAGAAAAGAACCAGGAATTAACATTAACATGAACAGGTACTGTTTTAGTAAATGGGTTTGCTTCATTCATCACTAAAGTGATGGCCTACAACAATCAGAGATTTTTAAGTCTGAACAAAGAGCCCTATAGCTTCTTCACGATCTTTGATCCCAGGGGAATGCCGCAAGACTGAGGTTGACCTAGCTAGCTATGAAAATGACAAACTCTGTTCTCTGGTCAACCTCTTTGCGCATTTTCTACCCAATAGAGAGAAGAAAGGAATAATTCAGCAGTGGCTAATTTTGCGTGCAAGACTTGCCAAGCAGAGGACACTTAAGACAATAGATGCCTTTTCTAATCGGTTGCTGTCTCGTCAAGAGGATGTTAAAGACTGCCTCATGCTGATTGATCTTCTGGTCACTCTTTCACCCAGCACTGCTAAGTGCAAACGCAGGTTTTCAACAATGAATCAGTCGAAAAATTTAGCACGTGCACAAACAAATCAAGACACCTTGACAACTCTGATGAGAGTGAGATCTTCTGACTGCAACCTTGGAAACTTCTATTTGGCTCCTACCATTGAACATTGGATGAACGAAGTGAAAACAAAGAGGCATGTCAAGCTCTAATTTGCTCTGACGGCTAAGGGCCGAATCGCACTAGAGCCAGACAAATCAAAAATTGTTTATTTTATGTCAAAAATCTGTCAACGCTTGACTTGTCCTAATGCGATCGCGTATTTTCGAGTTAGCCAAATATTCCGAAGGACAGCCAAACTTCAAAGGCTGCGATGTCCTGCTCCGAGGCAGGACAAATGGATCAAACAACCGAGAATACAATAGCTGGTGTTTGTTTTTTAATTAAGACGTCAAAAATGATGAGTACAACGTGATCTTTTGTTTTCGCGCGTTCTTCACTTTGCAAGATGTCGGACCAAAACAGCCCGCCAAACAGCTTTCCATTTTGCTATCCTCCGGGTTATTTCTTCCAAAACTTTTATGATTCGTATCCATATCGGAATTCCACGACCTCGATGCCCCATGCTACTACCAGTAGTTCTCCGCCAGGACAGAGGAGTAGCAGTCCTCAGTCGGGAAGTAGTGCTAGTGGAACTAGCACTCCGACATGCGAGATTGCCAGCACTTCCACTGAAGGAAACACGAAGCAGGACAAGAGACAGGGCAAGACAACGCAAGACCGATGGACAGAGAACCAGGTGAAATACCTTGTGGATCTGTGGGAGGCGAATATATCAAGGTTGGAGAGCCAACAGTCGAGGAAAGTGTGGGGTGAAATCGCCACTAAAATAAACGAGCAATTCGACCTAGCGCGCCTTCCAAGTCAGTGCGAGAGAAAAATTAAGCACTTAAAAAAGAAGTACAAAGAGGCCAAGGACTGGAATCGATCGCAGACGGAGGAAATAATGAAACCTGCGAACATTTTGATGTCTTTGACCGCGTGCTCGGAGGCAGGGATGTTGTTACTCTGAAGCACGTGCGAGAAACTGCAAATGCAGCAGCGAAAAATAAGGAGAAATTGCCTGACTCGCCTGCTGGTGACGAGGAGGAGGGATATACCTCGGATCAGGCAGAGGAAGCCCTTCAAGCAATGGGAATCAAAGTCAAAAGCAGGAGCGAGAGGAAGAAGGGAAAAGGAAAGGGAAAAGGGCGCAAGAGAAGCCTGGAGAACGACGATTCTGAGGATTTTGCTAGATTTACCGAGAGAGTGGAGCGCCAGGGTGATAGATTGGCAAATGCTGTAGAGCAAATGCAAGAAATGCAACGAGAGCAAACTCAGGCCATGACTGGTTTCCTCGCTGCTCTGACCAAGGCTATAGAAAAAAATTAAAGGCAACAGTTTTCGTTTATCCTTATTCACTTATCCTGCTTTGTAAACAATTACTCTGAAACTGCAAAGAGACAGTAGTTCAAAGCAATGCTATATTCTAGCGTTTATAAGTTTTCGTTCCAGTTTTTTTACAAAGTCTATATGATCAAGAAAACACGAACAGAACGAAAATAGCTCAAAACAATATGTTATTGTTAAGAGATCAATGATAAATAAAATCACATGGCAATGTACTCTTTTAGTAGTTCTCTGATATCGTCGCCATCCCTCAAAACATTTACATCATTATCATTTCCTCCGTCGTCGTCGCCATCATCCCATTCCCATTCATCGCCCGCATTAATGCAGAAATTGTGTAAAACAGCACATGCTACAACTGTATCACTCACAGAACTAACCCCGCTTTCGATTTGCTTTGTCAAAATACGCCAACGACTTTTCAGAATTCCAAAGGCGCACTCCACGGAAACTCTGGCGAGGAAAGTTCCTCATTAAATGCAATTTCGCCGGGATCTTGCGTTCCTTCAGGGTAAACTTTTTGTAACCAGGGAGCCAAAAATAAGCGCTATCGGCCACCAAATATGGACCAATCTCTCGGCCAAGAACATTCATAGTAGGACCAGTCAATAATTCTTGGTTCTCGCATCGTCTGTAAAGGCGACTGTTCCGAACACGCGCGTGCATCGTGCAGGGATCCTGGAAAGCCAGCTGCTACATCTAGGAATCTTTTCTTGCCATCAGCCACGGCTTGGACGATTATATCAGAGCGCTGGAATCGACTGAAGTAGTCGACTCTGCTGTCAGTAGGGGCTTTGATCGTGACATGTGTGCAATCAATTGCACCAGCCACATTTGGAAGATCAGAAAGCTCTTGAAAGTTTCCCTCGTTTCAACAACTTGAGCTTCAGTTTCAGGAATTTGATATAATCATGTTTTATAGAAACCAGTCCTGTAACGACGTCTTCGACGGCCTCGATTACTGTCGTTGTCCCAACGTTAAAACCAGGCCCAATCGAAACGTATGTTCCTCCATGAGCTAAGCGCGTGAGCCCAATTGCCAATACCTTTTCTGGCTCAATACACCTTCTAAAACGAGTGTTTTGTCTTGTGATGTATGGGCGAAGGACATCCAAAAGCAAACGAAAAGTAGCTCTTCTCATTCGAAGCTGTTTCCTGAAATATTCGTCTGGGATTCTTGGGTCATTATAATGAATATCAAACCATGAATCGGCGGGTCGAGGGAGAACCCAAAAGTACGGATGTCCACGCCAATTTCGTCTTCGCCTTCGAATCTCGAACAATCTCAGAAAAGCTCTCCCCTCTAGTTGAAATTGAGCAAGAGACAAAATTATCAGCATCATCCTCAGCTGAGCGTACATCTGAAATTGTAGGACAAATGCTGCAGCTACAAAAAGCAGAAAACGTCTTGGGATCATGTTGTTATGAAATATGATTTCCCGCCAAGTATTGGATAATGGAAAGGTCACAAGTGTGACGAAATGTAAACATTTCGGATTTGTCCAACGTAAACAAAACGTTAGTGCGATGGAGCGTGGACAACAGACAAATTGTCAGCGGACAAACTTAAAGCCAAATCCTGTGGACTTTGCCCCGGGACATTCGAAATGTCTGGCTCTAGTGCGATTCGGCCCTAAAGCATACGTGACATGTGGCTCTGACCTTGAAGTCTTAGTGTGATACTAGAATATTGGATTATTCAAATTAACGGTCGCTAAAACCTGAAATTAGCATGGAAACATGAAGCAAACTTGTATTGTTGAGTTAAGCCAGTTCGTTAGACCACAAGTCTATTAAGTTTTCTTAAGTTTTCCGTACTGGATTTGGTAAAACATTCCTATAATAGACAAGCATTCAGTTGTGTTATGTTTATACCTTCAAAGATAATGAAGATTATAAAAAGGTAAACACCTGAACTTCCAGAGCTATATCAGTTGGCTGGCTTCATGCTACCGCACGGCTAGAACATGCTCTTGTGAGCATTTTCTGCTTATGACAACACTCTTCCTGATAAGAGGCGATCTCTCGAGCAAAGCACCATCAAGGCATTCCACTCCAAGTTCAGACTTTAGCTGAGCAAAAAAACAATCTACCAGTAGTAGCACTAATGGTACCTGTTTTGGAAAAGCAAGTCCAACATAACACCTCAAAGCAAGCTCACAAAAGACATGAGCATACAGATTAGTGGACCATGTCTCCCTACATTCTGTTCAACAGTCAGCTTCACCTGTACCTCATGCACTTGATTCACAATATTGCCCCTGTACATTCCATAGTAATTTGATGATTTGATCACTCAAACAAACCATGTCAGAACGTTTCACCATATCAACAATATTCAAAACACCTTTCATTCCACCCAAAACATTGTGTATGCTTTTAAATACCTCATGATTTACTTGGTGTATGACAGCATCACTACATTTATCGCAGACAATCTGATAAAACGCCAGTACAGAAAACTCCATGAATATGTTTAAAAGCTAAACAGCAACTGAGCTGTTACCTTCTATTAAACTTCTTGTTCAATGATTTGACTGTACGATTTGAACTATTCAAGTTGAATTACACATATAGCATTTTAAAGGGCACGTCTCAGGTCAAAGGGTGTTTTTCGTCAGAATACACTTTTAGCTTGTCTAAACAACTTGTAATTTTTTTTTATTTGAAGTTTTTTCCAAGCATTTTTTTCTTGAGAAGAGGTGAGATTAACGTCACACCAAAAAATGCTCCGTTTTGTGTCTCACAGAGATGTGATGTATTTATATTAATATATTATTAATAATTGTATTTCATCTGAAATGCCGTATTTATTATCTTGTAACTTTTTTGTGTTGATATTGTAAGTTAAATGTAAGCGATGTCTCCATACTACCTGCGACAATAAGCTTCGCTATTTGCAGGTAGTCTGTACATAACTTGTTTTTCAAGTAGAAATAAAATCTGTTGTTGCTGAGGAGTGTAACTTGATCCAACATGGCAAAAAGATATGGTATATCTTTTAAGTAGTACCTTCGTAGCCAAAACCTTCAGGACAATCATCATGGTCTTAACACCAGCAAATTTTTTTGGAAAAAATATCTTCCTCCAGGAGGTCGCCATTGTAGAGCTCTTACAGTCGATTTTCCCACCAGACTGCTATTCCTGCCCATTGAATGCAAAGCAGGGTTGCTGTTTGGCGATTTTTGCAGTTTCGTACATAGAGTCACACGACTCATGCTGTAATTCAAAACCAACAGTTATCTGTGTGATCATTTGGACGAAGAAAGTGACCAAGACCTTAGTTTTGACAAAGATGAATTGAAAGAGAACTTGCCACTCACTTGTCTTTGTCACTCAGCGGACACGGAAGACGAAATGGTCTTTGACCTTTCTACAGATGAGAACCAGGAAGTTGAGGAGAGCAAGCAATGGAGTCCCAGAATTACTTCTCATGCAGATTTCTATTTTGACTACAGTACCATTGGGCCTACTGCGAAAATGCTGCCAAACAAGTCAGCTTTGGATTTTTCCATACAATTTTCACGGAAGATGTTTATGAAGTGATTGTCACGCAAACAAACTTGTATGCAACATACCAATGCAGGAAGCCTTGCAATCAAAAAAACACCCTGGACTAATCTCACCGTGGATGAGTTTGAAACCTTGCTTGGCCTGTGTGAAACAACCTTCACTGAGAGACCACTGGGATCAGTCATCACTCACTAGAACTCAGGTCAAGCAGAAGTTATGATCACAGACATATTTCAAATAATGCGCTACATTCATTTTATTCACAATGAAACTGAGTTTGTAAAACGGCTAAAAGACAGTCCTGAGCAAGAGAGCACTAAACCTTGAAAGAAACAGTGCAATCGATAAAACACTTTTCAAGTTCAAGGGCAGAGTTGGCTTCCATCAATTTTTTCCTAACACGCCTGGTAGATTTGGTGTAAAAAACTTTCCACTTTCAGAGTTGTCGAGTGGGTATGTCTGGGATCTAGAGGTTTACACTCGAAAGACCGAACGAACATGATCCTCAAAAAGGACTTGCTCATCATGTTGTGATACAGCTAATGAAAGAACTTGAAGGAAAAGGATTCAACCTTATCGTTGATAACTGGTATTCAAGTCCAGAAAGTTTTCACGATTTGGCAGAAGATAAGATTTTAGCTTGTGGAACTGTTCGCGCTAACAGGAAAGGCCTACCAAAAGATATAATGGATCTGAAGGTCAGAGAAATGAAATCAATGAAAAGGAGGTAGTCTGTAAGGGCTGGTTCCCACTAGCGACATAACGATCATAATCATAGTCATAAGAGTGTTTATGTCGCTTATGTCGCAGTGGAAACGCCAAAAAACATAATCATAAAGATGCTTATGATTGACATAATCATAATCATAAGAAAATGATCGATCATTTTCTTATGATTATGATTATGTTTGTTATTATGCCTATGTCGTAGTGGAAACGTGAAACCTAGCGCTCATAGTCATAATCATAATGATATATGTTCTTTCATTGTATTTTGGCCAATGAGCGTCCTAGTTCCAGTAACGTGCCGTTCATGCTATTCCAATATGGCGTCCAACTTCGATGAACGTCTTGCAAGCCTCGTCGAAAGTTTTCCAATATTGTACCATAAATCGCTGACAGATTTTAAAGATCGTAACAAAAAGAAAAATGCTTGGAATGAAGTAGCAGAAAAAATGGATTTGGAGACAGGTACGTATTGAACTTACATATTTATACGGCAAAGAGAAACATCGACCGTTGTTAGCCTAACTTAAGCTTAGCTTGATTATATTCTTTGCTTATTTTTACGTAAGGTGATGTTGCAAAGCAGAAGTTCGAAAATCTTAGAGCCCGGTACACCAGGAAAAAGAAAGTGGTGGAAATACTTACTTTGGTTTTTCTTTAATTTGTCAATGGTAAATGCTTACATTTTGGAGAAACTAGCCGGCAATAAGGTGCGTAGCCAACTTGCCTTCCGGCATGAACTAGCTAGGCTTCTTATTGCCGGCTACAACGGATACAAACGTCCGTCAAGTTCAGGCGCTCGTGCAATCCAAACTCTAACTAGTGAAGAAAACTTGAAAGGACATTTTCTTGGCAAGTTGCAAGGAAGGAAAAAAGCTTGTGCCATGTGTGCGAAAGCCGGCCGAAAGCGCGATGAAGGACGCACGTTTCAGACATCGTATGGATGTGCACAGTGCGGCGTTCCCTTGTGTAGGCAAATGCGCGGCGAACAATCCTGCTTTTCCCAGTGGCATGGGGGAAATTAGTGTTTTAATAGACACTGAACTTTGACTTTATCTTTTATTAGAATTTGTTCTTCATTATCAAGCATGTTTAGTGCTGTGAAGCATTAATTTAGGCAGTTCATTTACGCACTGTTTGCAAGGAGACCATTGTTCAAGAACACTGTAGGATAAAAACAAGTCGCGTCTTTGTTTCACAGAATCTATTGTTCACAACATATCGAGCGAGCAAATGTGAATAATATTTGAAATAGCTGAGTTATTTTGTCCGACGGTTTAGAAAATGAAGCTTTGTATCAGCAGGTTTGACCTGTAAAATATATCTTTGAGTTCTCCATGTCGTTACGTAGCGTTATGTCAGCAATGGCGGCAAATTCAAATTTTGATTCTTGTAAGAAACTTGAAAATTTCACTTTACGTTCAATGAGATGACCTGTAGAAAGCAAAATTGCGTGGCAAAATCTTTTCTCTAGCCCTTTTGATTAGCTAAGAAAAGGAAAAAGACAACATGTAGTTAAAATTCTCTCTTGATCAACTGTATATAGCTGTGGTCCTATTTGAAGGTCATGTCGTTTACTCAATTCTTTGACTTTGCAATTTTTTTATAGAGAGGATTATTTTCATCTTGTAGATTTAAGAAGTGTAAATAAATCTTTATTATAATAGCAATGATTTTGTGAAGTTTCACTTTGATAAAATAAAAGGAAGACAAAATAATTTTGAATTATTTTCAGACCTCTTTGTTTTTCTAACGAGGCAACCATTTTGTCTGGATTTTCAGGGGTAGTCTGGGCTCAGGGCTCTGGACCTTATAGGGTTAAGATTCATTGCTCTTTATCCTGAGTAACTTCAACTGATTCATTGATTGATTGAGTAATGTAAAACCTGACTAAACATAGTTAAGAACACCAAAACGTTATGTAATCAAACCACATTAAAAATACTGTACATGCTGTCACATACTGCACATATCATTTCCAAATTCCCTTTTATCTGGCCTATCCATAACTGCAATGGCTCATACTTTTACCAAAGGGCTCAGAACCTTTCAAAAGTCAGGGATCATAAGCCCATTTATCTATTTTGCATTCATAATCCCTGTGCTTCAGACTGTACATGATTTTAATAATGGCCAGATGCTCAACCAACAAAAGCCAGTGCAATACTCAAGACAGCAC